CAACTTCTTGCCATCTCAATTGTCACTCTTTCAAGGATATTCCAGCATTCTCCTGAACACTGACTATCTACCATATCTGTTTTTCTCTTCAATGTCCCTTCTACCATATTTGTTTTTCTCTTCAATGAATCTTAGTAAATATTTTTCTAGACCATCATTGATTCACATCACATGCCAAAAATATAGATGTATTGTTGTTCATGTTAAAAGGAAGTGGCTCATCTTTATTCAGTCTAGAATCTAATTGGTTCTTCACAACAGAACATAATTTGAAGGCATCTTTTTTCTCTTGCTTTTTCTTGATGTCCAGTTTTTACTTAAATGTCAGTGCTCCAATTAACCATTCTAGATGCATAATTTGGAGGACTGCATGTGCTGGAAAAGCTGAGGATGCAAACTGAATTTTCTTTGAATTTTTTGCTGCAGCATGTTGTATTTCTACTGTTCAGTTTGTAAAGCAGCCAGTTCCTTCAACAGTCATAGCTGCTGCGGTGAAAATTTCAAAGAAAACTCCAATGGTGTACAAGATCCTCCCTTAAACTCGTGCATATGTAACTCCAGTAGGTTGCATAACAGTGTATAACAAGGTTGCTGGTAGTATTTCAACTACATTATTTATTAGAGCTAGCACATTGCATATTCGAATGTTTTAATGAGTGATTGAAATGGAGAAATGGAAGTACTTAGAATAGAGTTGGAAGGAACCTTGGAGGTCTTGTAGTCCAACTCCCTGCTCAAACTACAAACAAGTGGGAAGAAAGATAACATCCTTTCTACAATACTTACAAGGATATATAGGATTCTGACAGAGACTAATGCAGCTAATCACTAAACAGCCCTTCTTCAGTCCGGTGCCCTCAGGGTGCATTGTTGTTGTTGTTGTTTTTTTTCACAATTCTCACCAAAATGAGAAAAAGCAAATCATACTAACTGGGAATTCTTGAGGTAGCAGATCCAACCCTTTTATTTGGTATTAGGTCAGAACAAGTTAAACTTCATAGCACATTTAATGAAGGCTTTTAACCTGTCACCCTACAAAAATGGAAGATTACTATTCCAACTTCTTGCTATGTTCTAAATAGCAAGATTTTATATATCAGATTTTATCACATATCAAGTTGCATAACTATACCTTTAATTTATTTTATTCTTGACACTCTTAATGACACTGTGCACATAAGCAAACATTAAATTTGGAACTACTGCATTAAGCTTTATTTTGTTTTTAATAAAACTTCACTGATCTCAAAAATTTTAGAAAGTTTAGAACTCATTAGTACACTTGCATGGAAGATAACCAAGAAATCCCAGGTCTACAGATCAGTTTGAGAAATCAGAAACCACCTCAAAAGGCACTGGCAAACACTTATATATTTGTGTAACCAATAGAACCAAAATAAGAAAGCTACAGTATATAAATGTATCAGTATAGTTCCTGGGAACTGAACTCATCTCAAAGGTCTCTTCAAATATTCATTTTCTTCTGATTAAGTAAAAATGTCCCCAAATATAAAGTTGAATATTTTTGCAAAGCATGTCAATAAAAACTCTGATTCTTGACATTTTGGATGCAAACTCCAGTGAAATAATGCCTATTCATGGCATATTATCAGTTCATTAAAAATATCTCTAAAACAGTATGCACACATAAAGAAAATTCACAGATAAAAATGATTTAACTAGATGAAAAATTAGCAGATGAGTCCATTTTGGTTATATAATAAAACAACTAAAATATATTAAATTACATATTAAATATATTAAAGCTTTTTGCAATGTTAGCTGTTAAAACAGTGAGTCAGAAAGCAATATATATTTATTACAGAGACGTAATTCTGTATAAAAGGATAACTGTAATAATAATGTTTTGGTTACACAAATAATTTTCCTTTTTTCCATAGCAGACTTCAACAATGTTAACTAATAAGATTTCTATCAACAGTTTCATAAGTTTGATTTCAGGTGCAATAATATCTGAAGCTGAGGGACTAACATTCTTTCCACATTTTATTTTAAAGTCAGGTATTATATTTTTAGTTTCTTCTCCAAGGGATGCTGCATGCCTATTCAGAAGAAAGAGAGCAAAATGTCTTTCCCAACCAAACCCCTTCAAGGTAAGTTAGACACAGCTCATTCCTTGATACCAGAGCTTGGGTCATACCGGCAGGGAATGATGGAACTAAGAGTCCCACATGTCTGGAAGGCGCCAACTTCGGAAAACGGACCGAGATTTCCCATCTCAACCCGGAATAAGACAACACCTTATACCAGAGCTATTGCTGAGACATCAGTTTCCTCCCTCTAGGGATGCTGTTTTCTTTTGTTTTTCCACCCAGGAACTGAAGAACTCCGTGAAACTCTAAAACGCGGAAAGCACCGGCCAAGACAGCTTGTCTCCGGGCATCCACGCGAATGAATCCGTGGTCTTATCCTTCTTCCCCATCAGAAAAGGCGTGGAAGTTCCCCGAGGCGCCCAGGGATGCCCGAAATCCTCCGGACAGGAGGAGCCTCTCGCCCCTTCGCACCAACGACTGAACCGACGGCGTTCTTCATGGGACCCCGGGGAAGCCGACGCCTCTGACACGCCAGACCCCCCCCCCGCCCCCCCCCCGTCTCCACAACCCCTTCGCCCCCCCCGCCTCACCGTGTAGGTCTCCACCAGCTCCGACCCAAGGATCCGGATGCTTTTGGGAGGCTCCTCGCCTTCTTCGCCGGTCCTCAGCGCCTCCATGTCCCGAGTCGGAGCGCAAAGGTTCGGGACCGACGGGCTACTGCGCTCGCTCCGCCGCTCGTGGAGGAAGACAAGCGCCGGGGACGGCGAGAGTCGTGGCAGCTACCGCGCCGTTTCGCACCGCGCTGGCCATGACCAGCACAACCACAGTCGTCACCGCCGCCATGTTTCCCCTCGTGCCGCCTCCCGCCCCTATCTGCGCGACGGAGGCAGGGCCTCGATAACGTCACTCAAGGCTTCGGGAGAACAAAGGGGGCGTGGCCTTGGGCTTGGAGGCGAGGCCTAAGAGGCCTCGGCGGCTGCGGACCAACCATCAAAGTGGAAAGAGTTTGTTTACCGCCTAGTGATGCCCCGATGTCTGCACTCTAGCAGGGTGCTTTTATTTGCACTGAAAGATGTAAGGGTTTTCGACCCCCTTTGCCCAGCGACAACGTAAGAGAGGTGGTAGAGAAACCCCGGAAATGTCGAACCAATCAGCATAACTGTGACGGGGCAGACAAAATTATAATGGAAGTGATGGACTACCGTTCCTAGCATGCCAGTTTGGGGGAGTAGCTTAAGGCAGGAGGAGAGAGGAGGAGACCCAATATGTTGCAATATGTCACAGCGTTGTTTTGCCATCTATCCTTATTAATACATAGGCATAAAAGAGAGGCATAAAAGTGCACTGTGTTGTACAAGTACTGCTTGTTTGCAAAAGTCTTGTGGGTAAATCTCCAACATTACAAGGAAAATGTTTGTGATGTTTTATAGAAAAGTATTGGACCTAATGGTGCTTACTTTGTGGTCTCTTCCACATATTTTCTTTGAGGTGAACATATTTCAAAACACATTGGATCACAGGGGAGTATGTCAGATCAATTTTTATACTTTCTGCTGAGTGGTGTTTCACCTATGAAACTACATTCTAATGTAGTTCTGTTTGACATGGAGCTTTTTTTTTTTTTTTTGCCAGAGGGAAAGAGTGGGTAGTTGGAGTCTAAAAAAAACCCACCTCAATGCTTTTTGAAACGGGATTGGAGTAGAAAAACAAGGAAGAGTAAAAATATACTAAAGAAAATGACAGAGAGCATATAGCAGCTCCCCAGACTTGGATGCTCTTCAGATCTATTGGGCCTGAATTTCTTACACAGATCTTAGACTGTATGATCACATGCGAGAAGAATATACATATTTACATGATGGGATTAAAATAAGATGGAATTGTGTAATTGATGTAATTGTGAAGAAAGATGTAACATCTCCAAATTACAATGAAGAAATAATAAAAACTTCTACTAGAAAAATGGTGGGTCTTAATGATAGCCTTACATTTTTAATCTTGTGCAATTGATTATAGAAACTAACCTGGAGACCAGTATAAAAGGAAGCTAATAAAATGAGAGGAAATAGCTTCATATTAAGTAATTTTGTTTATTGCTCCCTAATAATGGGTGGGCTTATTAATTTTTGTCAGATTTACCTAGATGTGTGCAATATAGTTAGACAGAGGGGGGAGCTCTCAATCAGTGGACAGAGATATTTTTTTATAGCACATACATTCTCTTCATACCAGTGCCTCTCACTGAACAATCTATATGAATGGCTGAGTAGGTTGTTTTGCTTAAAGGCAGGAATTTGCCCAGTTTGCACAGATGTTTGCAGCAAACAAAATAAAAGAGTGGGTACAAAGTGTCAAATCAGGTGATACAATAATGCAGCTGAGGAAGCCTTGTGGGAAAGCATTCTGTCTGAGGAATTAGGGATGTTGATGGAGTGCATTTTAAAAAAGCAATCCCATCAAAACAATCTGAGGTGGTTTCATTGGAGTCATAAACATGCCTGTGGAAAGAAGTACTTGATATTTGTTGTCTTTGCCTAGAATGCATGCCTATGAAGGCTATCCTTTGTTCTGTAACACACATACAGCATTTTAGAAAGAGTTCTTTTAAAAGGATAGTTATTTTAGTGGGTGACTATTGTTCTGTCAGGGGGATGGGGACTTCACAAGCATTTTGATTTTTGCCATAATCCCTATTAACCACATGGAATCAGAATGCCTAAAACCCATAGTAAATGAGGGCCATAAGGAGCTATCTGATGCCTAACCAAAAACAAAAACAAAAACATACCAACAGAATTGGATCAGAATTTAGAAATGTCAGCTGTAACAAACTTTGCATAACTTCCTGAAGACAGGGTGAAGAGTCAGACTTGGAATGAATAGCAAGGCCATTCACAGATGTCTATATACTGGGCTGTGTAGTTCTTGACTGACACATTTAGGACTGACAGCCTACTATAAAAGGAGTGCTTCAAAGGACAGAAAGCTGGCAGAGGTTGATATTTGTCTCTGTACCATTTTTCATCTCCACCTCGTTCCTAACCCACAATAACTAACCATGGATGATATTTACAAGGCAGCAGTAAGTAAAATTTTCACACTCTGTTGTATTAAATCTCAGGCAGATTCTGAATAATTATATTTAGGATTGTAAGGAAAATGTTTTAATAAAGTTCAAGTGCTGATATTCAATCAGATCCACTAAATGTTTTACATATTATGATATTCATTAATATTAAAACTAATCATTTAGAACATACTTTTTAAATTTGATGCAGGGCATTATTATATAATCTAAGCTCAGTAGGTATCACAAGATGATTTGGATGAAATCCTAACTGCTTGTATTTTCTGTGAAAATTCAAAAATCTATTGAAGCCCAATTCTAACTAGAGCTAAAAGTAATGTAAAGCTCATGGCTTTGATTGATTTTAACATAATTGTTTGTTGCATAGGTTTGGACTGTTAATATAAGTGCAAATCTTGTTATTTTTACACCTAAAGTGTTTTGCAGAAAATGGCATAGCTTCCTGTCGTTTTATCTTTTCTATGAAAATACATTTTTCCAGATTTCTGTTTGACAAACTCAAAAATTACTTATATGTGAAGATACATTTTATAAATACTAGTGGTGTATATGCATGTATAAATGTGCTTAATGAAAAACGGGTTACCAGAATGCTTAAAACTGCTGCTTAAAACTCTTCAGGAGATTTAGACCACTTAAAAGTTTAAGTAACATTTATACTGGTAAGTAAAAAAAATAATTGGTGACTGTAATGACCATAATAGAAATATCCTCAGTAATTCCACTTTAAGTGTGGATAGAACACTTCTTGCTATATCTGTGGAGTAACTGGATAGACACACTTCTTAAGAAACACTAATATGACAGATGGGAGTAGGGCAATTCCTGCCTTGAGCTCATCCTGATGAGTGCTCAGCTCCCCAGAGTAGTTTTAAACAGCTGCTAGGTGCTGTAAATAATTCTCAGCAGCAAAAGAACAGTTCAGGATTGGACACATTTCAATTTAAAATAAAGATTCCTTTTTATAATTTATTTTTTAAATATACAAAACCCTGTCTTATAGCTTATCAGTATCCTCTTGATTCTGAATGCTTTACCTACAGTGAAAAAAGAGCTGGAATTTACAAATCACTAGGACTCAGCTTCAAGTTATTGAATCATTGTGTCCTTCTTTCAAGAACAGGTGTCAGCTCAAAAATTTGAGGAAATATATTATTAATAATACCCACTGAAATTTTTAAATGTTTTCTATAATGAAGCACGTCGTTATTTCTTACTTCTAAAAATTTTGGCATTCTTATATAATAAGAGTATTTTCCTAGTTTTTTTTTAGCAGTGTTTTCAGAAGCTAACTTCTTAATTTCCCAATTTTGGACTCCTGAGGAGCAAAAACTTTCCTTAGCTTGGCTCTAGAGTGAAGTTGCCTTGAATTATTTATTATGTATCAGTGGTATCCCATTTACTTACAGTATACTCATTGGATTTTCACAATTATGAAGATTAATCAAAGTTGAGAGATATGATTTGTCAAAATCCACCCGGCATGCCTTACAACTGTGTGCAAAAGTAAACGCCGTATCTATTAACTAAGTCTCTTGTCATGATGCCACATGAAGTATGTCGTATCTGAAAGGGTGACCCAGAAATGAAAAAGATATTCTTCCTGCATTTATTGCAAATCTGGTGATATCTTTAAATGGGTTTTCAATGATTATTTGAAAATACTCCCACTTATATGGACCTCTGAAATTCAATGGATTTATCACTTTCCCACTCATATCTCTTATGCAGAGATAAGTTTAGAATGGCTTCCAGATGCTTCTATACCATACAACTTTGCCAGAGGCATGTTGCTAGATTAACGTCTCCTCTGATAAATGCCAACGTCAGTCAGCTTCTGGGAACAATCAGAAGTGTTATCTGTCTTCTTAGCACCTAAGCCACTAAGGCATAAAAATAGCCAGCTTGCCAAAATAGTCCAACTATGTGGGCTGCACAACAGAGAGGCATTTGCTGTCCTTAGACTTTTCAGCTATCCTGGACTGTTGAGGGGAGGGAGGGGTTTGAACATTACAATGAAGGAACAATCACAGCTGCTCCAGTTCCATCACAGTGGCTTAAATAAATGGGTTCAGTTTTCACGCTGAAATTTTGAAGAGGCATCTTCTTGCTTTTGTTATCTCAGCAGTGTAGGCTATACTCTGCCTGCTGGTGCTGCCACTCCTCCTCCATCATTCATCTTGTCAGATTTCCCCCTTAAGCCAATTAGGTGTGTCAGGTAAAAATAGGTGGCAATGGATTGGTGCATAAGTGAAAACAATCTAAGATAACTTGTTCTTCATGACAGCCTTAAAGAAGAGGAGAGGGAGCTACATAAAAGGAAGGAACCAGTTTCATGCCCAGAATGCTCTATCAGTATTTGAAACAAAGACCTCTCTAGAACTTTTCTGTAATCATTTATGAAGAAAATGGCTGACTACTCTATTTTTCATGTATCTAGGTCTTTGTAGGTTAAAATTAGCATACAGACTTGTATTGAGGAATAAGTATCTAGTACAGGTGGAGCTCTGAACTCTATTCCCATAAAACCTGTAGTGTAGTATCATGAATTAATGGACATTTCTAAGTAAACTTCGCAGACCTCCTTGAACATTACAGTAATCAAAAGAAAAAGTGATCAAGACATATATTTTTATAGTTAGGTGAAAGGTTTCTAAATGAGCTCTTTTATACTGCAACATCTTTAACTGGAGAATTGAATCTCTGATAGCAGCTATGACCTGTCAAACTAGGGCTGGGTTCACATCAGCTTTGGAGGAAATTAGCTGCTTCACATACCAGCCAAAATGCTTTTAATCATATAATCTTTTGTCTTGTACTGTCTATTTATAACATCAAGTCCTGATGTGGGCTATCTCTCACTTTGTCCAGGTTTTATAGAGAGAATAAAATAATTAGGTATCTGAATTCAAACTCTGGACAACTTCTCCAACTCATTTGAGGTAGATGCTAAAAACAAAGGCTGCCCATGCACACTTTGAAAATTATTTGGAAGTTCTTCAGTTCTTGTGCCAGCGTGACCCGGGCAGCTGCCTGTTGTTCATTAAAGCATGCACAATTTTTTTATTTTTGTAGGCTTCTATAGAGACCTAGCAAATGAAATACCTTTTATAAGAGTCACATTAAAGATACACTTTAATGATTTAACTCAGTGAAACAGGAGCAGAATCTTTTTTCATGTTTTGGGAAGATCTGAAGCACTTCTTCCAAATCATCTTCAAAGCATGAAGAGCCTAGTTGAAAATATTGGGAACAGGATAATAGCCAGACAAGTCCCAGATACCAAAACTAATGGGATTAAATAAAAGCCTCAGTATCTTCTTTTTAAAAAATGTATTTCCAGGAAGACTGCAGGCCTCACAAAATAGTGTTTCTAATGCTCAACTCAAAAAGATCTTGTAACTTATAGTTGTTAGTAAGAATCTCTTTGAAGGCAAGAGTATCAACAATAATACTTTCCAAAAAGGAATTGATAATCAAATCCATTCTAGCCAGAGTTATATGGTCAGAGTTATACACTAGTTACTACAGGGCTGTCAAACTCACAGCGTCACGTCACATGATGTATCACAACTTTTTCTCCTTCACCAAAGTAGGGGTGGGCATGGCCAGTGCGTTATGCATCTGGCTCACGGGCCAGTATCTATTATACTAGACACTCCTGTTCTAGTATAATAAGAATTCTAATTTAATTTAAGAATTAGAAGAGTAATTCCTAACATAGTTTGGAATTCTGCGTATGCCCGCAGAAAATGTGTATACATTTCTAGACTTGACCTTTTACTATTCATTCCTCCCACCTTCCAGGATTTGATTCACCCTGCCAGATAATATGCTGGATTTCTGATTTGTAGCTCTCTCAATTTTACAGACAAGTTTTTCAGAACGCAGTGCTTCAAGAGATAAAATAGTTATCCATCTATTAATACCCAATTCTGAGCTGGAGATAACCAGCCAGGCTGGATGGAATCTTCCTAAGTTGTTTCCCTGCTAAGAAGGTAGAATAATACCTTGAATTTCAGTCAACTTTTGCTTCCTTGTACAGACCTATACTTTGATTAGAGGGAAATTCCTGCCTATTTTAACTGGCTGATACAAATTTAGTAGCTGAAAACAGCCATTTTGTTCATGTTATTTCTTACTTCACTTCTCCTATCTCCTGTTATTGGTAACTAATTGTTTAGTTAAAAATAAAGTTGTATGATGAGACCTGGGTAGATTCTGAACTGTTGTATCTCCTTCAGTGCTGTTGCCCTTGGGCACCAACAGTTTGAAGACTAATTTATCTGTTAAAATGTTTGTGTGTGTATCTATGTGTTATTGGTTCAGGGCAGTTGAGTAGACATAAAGCACACGTTGGCAAAGTAGTGAGTTGGTACGACAGACAGAGCTTTTCTCTCCTTGGATCATTAGGGCTGCAGTCCTATATATCTTCCTATCCGGATTAAATTCCACTAAACTCAATGGCACATAACACTGCACTGGAAGCATCTCACCTGCTGTGTTGATTCAGAAGTTATGTGTTTTACAGGTGAATGCCATCCCATAATACAGCTGGACAACTAAACTTGATTGCAAAGAGAAGGGATGTGCATAATAGTTTTATATTTATAGTCTAATTTGTTGTTTTAAAATAAGTAAATGATGGTATCTGTATATTTTCACCTTTTAATTTTATATATGTGCTTAATCAGAAACCAATGATGTTTAATTCATTGTAAACAGCTGTATGAATTACAGCTATCCATTTGTTGAATGGTTCAGTCTCCAAGTTGTATCTAGATGGGACCTCATTTATGAAATTTTATGGAGTGTCCATGTGACATTGTTTGCCATTTGGAATCTTTGAACACTATCCCAGCTTTTCCTCCCTCCCACTTTTTTTCCTCACCAAAGACACTTTTCTTGGAGAAGGAAGAGATAAAAGCCTCTTAATACAGTAGACAGTGTTAGGAGCTCTGTCTCTGGAAGCAGCTGAGGAAACTAAATAGGGGTATTACCTAAATTAGGCCACGGAATTCTAACTAAGATTTGTCAAGGTAGCTGCAACTTTGCTCTATCAGACATATTTTGACATTCTTCTCAGTTCAAGATTTGTTTAACATAACATCACAGGACATCCCAGTATGGCAATTTCATATTTCTGAGATGAAGTTAATTGGTGACTTACAACAATGAAACTCAAGGACTTAAAAATGACAAATAGCAACTAGGATTATATATAGGATTATAAGGACAGGTAAATGAGTGGACATCTGTAATTTTTACTTTGCTCTCAAATTATTAATTGAAATAAATAATATGAGTTACAAAAAATTAAAATAAAAAATGCAGCCTTCTAAAGCTCAGATTTACTTCAATTTTTTTTATGAGTACAGCTACTTCTGATAGAGCTTAGATAGAAACTACCATTTGAAATTCAATTATAGCTTTATTTCACTCTAAAAGTAAGCCTTTGAGCCAACTGGAAGATGGTTGTCTGCAATTTTTTTATTACATAATCACTTCATCAAAAGTCAATTATTTCTGTATATTCAATTGGGTTTACAATTTGATGAGCACTATTTAATTTTCCTACTTTCAATATTAAGTTGAATCAAGACATTGTGGTAATTAACACACTTAAGAAGATTGCTTCAGAGTTCCAAATTCTACCAAAAAACATCCACCTTACCAAATTCAACATTTAATAAATATATTCTATGGTTAATAATTTAATTTCATGACAGATGTTCATCAAATCCATATTTAGAATTTGATATATGATTGCAATCTGTACACTAATATGTATTGCTACAAAGTGTGCATTTTTGTATCTGTTTCATTGTCTTGAGCGATAAAGATTAAATGATTAGAATACACAGCTCATCAATATGAAAATTGCTAAATATGTAAACAAACATTAATCAATGGAATCTTCATTTTAATAGGTTGAGCAGTTGACAGATGAACAAAAAAATGGTAAGTTATCAATTTCATTATTCCAATTACCTCACAAAGAGTCTTGCTTTAATTGGAACACAAATCTTGAGAATCTTTAAAAGAAAGCCATCACCAATGAAAATCAACTTTCAAAATGAGTGTGCTTATTTTAAGAAATACATTTTGATTTTTTTAAAAAAAGAATAGTACAAGAATAGCTTCCACAAAAGTTCATAAAATATATAAAAACCAATAGAAACAATTCATTTTACTGTTACTTATCAGATCAAATCACTTAAATCTATTTCAATATATTATTCAATATCATGAATAAACTGTGAAAAGGGAAGAAAATGCTTTATGTGATATTAATATCAGATTGGCAACTGATCTGAAGCTTAAAACAAGGCTGATATGGTAGTTTTTAAGGCTGAGAGACCTAAAAACAGGACTTAGCTGTCCCCTTGCCTCCAAGTCATTTATTCTTATTGCATCATAATCTAAAGTTCTCTGTTCCTTTTTTCCATGTAAAAATGAATGGCCTAGTAAACATAAAAGGGTAGGGACTCCAAAACCTTAACATAATTCTTGGGGTTGTGTTTTAATTACTTTACGCTCACATTGATTCACCCAAATCATTTCAAACCAGGAACTGTATTACAAGGAAGAACTTAATTGCCCTTATTGTGGTTTCCATTGGGAGTCATTATTAGGCCTATCTTGCGCCTGGGTCAATTTGCTTCTGAAAGAGAAGGGAGGTATGCAATGTTTCTAAGGAATTCTGAGGAATGCAATCCAATAAATATTATTGAGAGGAAAACATTTGTACTAGCAAATTAGAATAAAAATGATCAATTAATTTTCAACATATCTATATAGTATATTTTGTTACTAAGTTTAATAGATCTTGTTGATTAGTAAATGCCATTAGACCTCCATGTCTGTGGAGATTGTCAGTCATCCAGGTCATGGTTGTCCCAAAGGTGCTTTTTCAAGAGCAACTGGACTTTCTGGTTTCTCTTTGAAGATATTCAGAGCTGAAGAAGTTTGGATGAGAAACATCTACAAAGAAAAACCGGAAAGTCCAGTTGCCTTGAGAAAGCACCTTTGGAATATTAGACTAGTTTAGCTGATCCCGTTTATGCCTGAGAGAGAATCAGTCTGGTATTATGAGACAAAGACTAGAATACTACTGAGTTGGGCCCTTCCCCATTTGTATACCATTTGTACCCATCATAGCACAAACATGTAGGCTACATCCTTTTCTGCTGTTGGTGAATAGCCTTAAATCAGCTATACTTGGGATAATGTAGTGATTTACCTCTTAAACTACGGGCATCTGAACAATGGCTGCAAAGAACGTACAATCTGACATGCTTTCCCACTCATTCAGCTGGTGGTGAGGTCAGATGCTTGAGTGCTTGTTGGCCATTTCAGGCTGATACAAGCATATTCCCCTTTCCCAAGAAAACAAGCAAGCTCATAATTCCCCTTTCTCTGGTTCCCAAGCCGTAGCCACTGCCCACTGCTTTTCTTTCAAGAAATCTAGGCACAATTTGACCTGTAAAACATCTACAGCCAGGACTGTTTTTCCATTTCGGCATGGTATTATTATACAGAGATGTGTTTGTGTGTGCGCACGCACACATGTGCAGAGGGTTATACTTCAATAGGAACTTCTGCTGCTTGTGAAATGCTGGCACAAGACCACCATTGTGGACAACACATTTACTTTGTTTCAGAATTGTACACCAGTACCAGAGATAGTGCATCTCTTGCTTTGCTGCATTTATTTATCTGATTTCTAAGACTGCCCAGTGGGAAATGTTTCCAGCCTCTGAATTGAAGGAAATTAATCTTTACATTTTTTTATATGTCAATGTAACTGTGTGGGTGTGTACCGTAGGCGTGGGAGAGAGTGATTTCACTTCTTCCCATTCATTTCCCAGTTTTAAATCGAGAAAGAGCATTGAAGCTCACAATTACCAGTCCTCTCTCTTTTTTTGCATCTCTGTCATGATGTCTGGATGTTTCCCCACTGGCTGGTGACATTTGAAAGTTAAATAAGCTTGGAGAAACCAAACAGTTGCTTTGCTTTGCCTTGCCAGGTGCATAGTCATCGGGCCACAATTTAGTCAAGGGTCAGAATAGATACATTCAAGGCACAATAGGAATCAACAGTGCTCACAATTTGGTCTTGAAGTATCACGCTCTTAATTAGTTTTGCTTCTCTTTCTCCAGAATTTAAAGCTGCTTTTGATATATTTGTCCTGGGTGCAGAGGATGGATGTATCAGCACAAAGGAGTTGGGGAAGGTAATGCGCATGCTGGGACAAAATCCTACCCCTGAGGAGTTACAGGAGATGATTGATGAAGTAGATGAAGATGGTGAGCAATTTCTGCTGGGTGTTTATACAGTATAAGGCTGTAAATTTAGATTTGCTGTATTGTGTTTTGAAATCTAACCTAATATGGGAAATAGTTCAAACAGAGAGGAAGTTAACTTGGTGCCCTTTTTTCCTTGACAGGCAGTGGTACAGTAGATTTTGATGAATTCTTAGTTATGATGGTCCGGTGTATGAAAGATGACAGCAAAGGAAAATCAGAAGAGGAACTTTCAGATCTCTTTAGAATGTTTGATAAGTAAGTGGCTCTATTAGCATAAGCCAATGTCCAAGAGAATACAATAATCAAGTTGAATCTCCATGAGTTTCATATTGATAACACAAGTAAGATTGAAAACCTCACTATATAAATAAGCCTTTGTTAAGATCCCACCCACTCCGTTCCACCGTCTGCTTGTACAAGGTGGGGCAAGGCGCATGCATAAAGATCAATCTAGGGTGGGGGGGGGGGGGGGGGGTGGAGCTGCCCCATGTGCCCCACACCCACTTGCCTTAAGACCACCGCAGCCAGGCGTCCCCACCCTGGCACCTGTCGTGTTGCTGCCTGACTTCTGTGACCGCTCACGACTGGACGCCACATCATGCCAGTGTCTCTCGCAGCAGGAGGCACTTGTGGCAGGATGCCATGTGCCCCGTTGCACTGGTGGCGCCACTCCTGGCAGGAAGCCACATGGTGTATTGTGCCAGTGCCGCCACTCATGCATGCATTGGTGCAACATGTCATGTGGCCTCCTGCTGCAAGCAATGGCACCAGCTCGATGCACCACGTGGTGTCTGGCTGCGAGCGGCTGCAGAAGTCAGGCAGTGGCGCAACAGGTGTCAAGGTGTGGGAGGCCTGGCTGTGGTGGTCATAAGGTAAGACCTGGTGCTTATTTTCGGGGAAACATGGTATAATGCTTCTTGTCTTCATTGTTCTATTTTTTTCCATTTATAATTATTCAAGGATGGATAACAATTTTAATAATGCTAACAATAAAAAATAAAAGTTGTTCCTGAAGACTAAATGCCAATGATGGAAATCAGGACTTAAATGCACTATGGACAGGATTTGTTTCAGAAGTGAAGCCATGAATGGGTAAAGCCATTCATTCTGTCTTCTCCCCCATTTTTTTCCTGCTCCCTTTCTTTCTAGAATAGTTCTCCCAGGTGTATGTTGTGACACACAGTCTTTCACATAATAACCAGGCAGGAGGCCTGATACCTGAAAACCTACCTGACTGGAGGGCAACACAATCTGCAGTTTTCTTTGCCTTCTTGAAATCTATTTCAGTGAAGGATGGATGAACAATTCATGTGCGGAAGTGGCTAATGCCTACCAAGCCATAGAAAAGAAAACATTTGATTAGAATGTGATTCTTTTCATACATGAATGATTATAAACTTCTTCAGTCTGGGTTCAGACCTGCTCTTGATATAGAAATATCCTTTGGTCTGCTAAATGTTAACCAGTGACAGAAAAACAGATAGGCGTGTTTGTGTTGATTTTGCTTGATCTCCAAACAGTTTTCAATACTGTCAACCCTGATATTATCCTGTAGTTACATTAATTCCACTGCTATTTTCAAGGACTGAGAGCAAATTGGGTGATTCTGCCTCTGACAGCTCTGCTGTGAGACCGCTGTGCTGTGGGGGTGTCATAAGGCCCCATTTTGCCCCTGGAGCCATTTAACATTTATAAGATCTGCTTTGGAATGGGCATTAGCAGATTGGAAATAAAGTACCATCACTAAAAGAATCAGATCAATTTTTCCACATTTGATCCAGAGGAGAAAAGGCATGTTCTGAAACCAGCGATGGAGTGTTTAGGCCAATAAACTGGGACTGGATCTTGAAAAGAGGCAGAAGGAAATCTAATGGACAGCTTGTTCTTGGAAACAGAAATCAGAGAATCTTCCCAAGTTAAATGGGACTATGTTCTCTTACAAAGACTGTGTTTGTGGGTTCTCCTAAATCACAACTTCTTTTGAAGACTCAAGTAATCTCTATGGCCAGGATTGGCAGTTCAGTTGATATCCCAACTTTGTTCTTGCCTAATTGTTTAGGTATATATGCTATTTATGTGCTGGTAACCACATAATTGAGTTACTGTAATCTCCTCTATGGTCAGTCTGGAAGGTCCAACTAGTTCAGAATTATAGTAGCCAGGTTGCTGAGTCAAGTATATATTCCATCTCTGTTCAAGTAGCTGCAAAGGCTGTCAGGCATCACTCAACCTTCTTGTAGTTTCATTTTTTAACATCTAAGGCACTGAATAATTTGGGGCAGGTTGTCTGACAGATTGCCTTTATCTTTATAGAACTGGTTGACCACTAGAAGTTCGTGAAGCATATGCATTATTATTTTTTCTTCCTAATGGCTAGGCCTTCTCCATATTAACAACTGCATTCTAGAACTCTCTCTCTCTCTTTGTTAGCCTTCAGAGGTAGTCCAGGAACCACATCCAAATAAACTCATTCTATTTTGTTGTAAGGTTACATTAACACAATCTTGCCAGTCTGAAAATACATTTCTTCCCCTTCCCCTTTACAATCTAAGAAAATAGGGCAGGTTCTTTCTAAAACATTTGCCACACCCACATGCCTTCTGCAGGCTAAGCTTCCTCTTACGTGACCATTGCTCTGACTGCATCTCTTTCCCCTCTCTCCCAAGGTCATTCCCACATAACCTTACACTCCCTGGAAATTTGTGAGTCACTGCTATTAAGATTTTTGTAAAGATTATTCTTTCATGCTGGCTTCCTTGGTGGAAATTTTAATCATGAGAAGTCTGTTTTGTTTTCCATCTCAGTATCTCTGGGAAGAGCTTTTGACAATTCAGATGCCATTACCAAGAAGGTTGTATTCCCCAAAATATAATTCCATAGATTATCAAACAAAAAGAAATGAAGACTGTTACAGTGATCTCGCAGTATTTGAGTGGGAAGAATTTGCACAAATATTAAATGTGGTGGAACTTTAATTCCATTTAACCATGACATCTGGGATGGACATTCTGCAGGTTGCAGTTTCATTAAATCAAGAGAGCTAGAAAAGCTGTTTTAGGAATGTAGTGATGTGTCAATGAAATACATATTTTAATAGCTTCAGTAAATTGGTCACTTGCGGGGTTTGCCATTCCTTTCGTTGTAAAGCTCAGAACTCACACAAATCCCCAGGTAATCATATCTCTTGAAATGAAAAGACAAATGGTGACTGGGTCTTTGTTAAGTATGCAAGATGTGTAAAGGAACTGCAGATACATCCTTTTTTAAAAAAATGTGAAAAGTAACATTTGTAAAAGGGCTCCTTTTTTTTAGCTTACCCTTTCTTTCACAGAAACTCAGATGGATACATAGATCTGGATGAACTAAAGCTCATGTTACAGGCTACAGGAGAAACCATCACTGAAGATGACATTGAGGAGCTAATGAAGGATGGTGATAAAAATAATGATGGCAAAATTGACTATGATGGTGAGTTATGCTTATGGCGAATTATGCTTATACACTGCATAATAGTACAGCCAGAAATGTAGTACTGTGAAAACACTCAGGACAGGAATCACTTCAAAATTTGAGCCACATCTTAATCAGTAAAAGAATACCTCCTGGTTAAATGAACAGTAAAATTCTCAAAAGTGCTGCCACCTGCCCAAAATAAAAACACATGTTTATGTCCTGCTTTCTCCTGCTTGTCACTCCCCAATGATCTATGTTTAGTTTACAGGTAAGGTTTTCAATATATAGATTTTATTTTTTGATGATTATTCCAGAAAGAACCCAACTTAGATATGTCAACAGACTTGGGGATCTCATGGAAATGGGAATGTAATGATGTAATATCTAGTGTTCTAGCCCTTTGGTCTTTTATAATGTAATTTATTAATGTTTGAATTATAGAGGGGTTTTCATAATTACTGTTTTTATTATTTTATTGTATGCCTGTTAGAGTCACAGTTTGTGAGTTGGTTGGCATATAAATAAAGAAGCACATTCACACATACATTTGTCCTGTATGCATCATGAAAAAAAAACAAAAAACCAAAGAGTTTATCTTTTGTCAGATGATTGGAATCCATGGCCATACACCTTAAATATTTTTCTTTGAAAATTTGGCTTGAGACACAATAAACACAATTTTTGCCTAGGAAAAAGTTATGTAAGTCTGATAAAAAGCAACATCCCTATCATATGAATGGGATGAGCTTTGGCATAAACAATCCACCAATCATTGTTGAAAGAGACCCAGGTCCACATTCAGGCATGGAAAGTCAGTGAATGGCTTGGATCAAGACCAATCTTTGAGCCCATGGGTGATGGAGAAAAAATGGAGAACAAAGTACTATTTTTTTCACTGTGCAGGAAATAGCACAAAAAAAGAAAGGGCTGAAAGGAACAATGTGACAAAGGTCAGGAACCTTGCACCATTTTCTGAATATGATTTTTGGTTTTTCTCCTTTTGCAGAATTCCTGGAGTTTATGAAAGGCGTTGAGTAAACATGAGAAATTTTGAAGGCAGTATCTTTATTTGAACATCTTCAGTGTTGTCTTTTGATATTTCATCAGATCTGCTTCTCTTATTACTTTCATGAAGCTATGTTGAACTTTGTGAAAATCAGGAAAACATGACCCAACTCTTTTTAAGTGCCTCAAATGGTCAGTGGACATTGACTGAGCCAGATTATTATGCAGGATAATAATGCCATACGCCATGGCTTCATCACACCTAAAAATGTTCTTTAATTGATGATTAGGTTCTGCTGGTTACAATGAAAAATAACACTTTAGTAACTATTGAGACATTTAGGTTATTATTATCAAACATTTCAATTAACATTAGAACATACTTTTTCCTTTCTGTATGTGCCTCTTTGCTTGCCAAGTTAAAGTATGTAAAAATACTGTGTACAAAAAAGTTTTATTTCCAAGATGCTAATAAAAACAATTGCAAATCAGAGTGTTTGCTCTGCAGAAGTTCCTGGGTGTGTAATGCTGTCATGCATGCCTATGAGGGGAAAAAAGAAGCAGTTGTAATTAAGGTTTAAGTTTATATCAGAGACTGTCATATTCAATACACCAGACATTCCAAGGTCTCAATTTAAAGTGTGCTTTCTGTAACTTTCCCTTAGCCTGGTGCCTTGAAATATATTGGACATTAGCTCCATAATTCTCAGGTGAGTATCTTTTTAATGTCATCTCATCTGAAAAGTATCAGATTGGAGAAAGTTGAACTAGCAAAGGCAATAATTCTCAAAATGTCCAATAGCCTCTGACTGATAAGAAACTATTTCCAGGAAATCAGTGTTTGTTTATATCAGTTAATATATTCACCCACTTTGTAAACATGATTCCAGACGATTAACAGAATTAAAACATCAGTACAAAACAAACCAATGATGAAATTAAAAACAACTATAAGCAAAACTAAAAGCAATTAATCGATTAAATAGATTGAAGGCTCACCTAACCTCCTGATAATTTTTGGAAAAAATCAATTTGGTTAACAATTTTGGGTGGTATCATTTTCCAAAGGGCAAGTGCTGTGATGGGACAGGAGAGACCATTGCAGAAACAGGCAATCCTTCAAATAACATAACCCTATGACATGAAGGGCTTTATTAGTAAGCACATATTGGAAGTTCACAAAGTGGAAGTGTAATACAGATATCCATATTACACCCATATTGCTTAGGCCGCTGCTGTCAAGCATAAGAAATCAGGAATTTAGGCAGTTCAAATGAGTATAGGTTTACTGTATGCTAATGCTCTCTACAAGAATCTGAACTACTAATGGTCAAAGCAAATTGGTGGTAGATAAGAGTCAACGTGATTCAAACTGGGCTGGACTTAGATCTCTTGTGGTTTCGAAAGGACTTGAGTTTGATGACACATTTGACCCCCTCTCCTTCAAGCTCAGACTGATCGTCTACAATTGCTTTCTGGACAAATGCAGCTTCCAGATAAACTTCAAAGACAGCACCTTGTAAAATACCTTACAGTATTGTACTGTAATCCATTCTGGAGATGACCAAAACATAAGTAACCATATGTAATGCCTCCTGGTCTAGGAAGAAGCACATCAACGCAACTAGGCAGACCAGACCAGGGAATCGACTCCACAAGAAGACAATAACTATTTTTATTGAGAGCAGCTATAATAATAGAATCTTGCAAGGGAAGCTTCTGGCAATATTACCTTGTTTCCCAGGACTTAAAGAATGTTTCAGCTCTTTTTGCCTACTCTCTTCAGTTAAGGGCATAGGTTTAGAAGATAAGTTGCTTTGATTGAGGACACTTAAGTACCCTTACTGATTATAAAAATCAACTTCCACAGAATCTAATAATCTAGCTCCATGTGTGTATGTATGTGTGTATGTGTATCTAATGTGAACCTGCTCATTGCAAAGTTTAATTCTTGAGCTTCTTTCTTTCACCCTTTCATCAAAACAGATTGCTTGCAGCTCATGCCTCAGACTGAGTTGCTGATGGCATCTGCACTGTTTTTATATAATAGACTTGCCTGGTCCGAGGCTACTTGTTCCCTGTCATACCAGCTCCTGTTTCCAAATCCTTTAGTTATCTGCTCAGCCTCATTTTACGAATACTAAGCCTTCACCAAGAAGCACATTTATTCAACAGTACCAGAAAAGAAAATTAGTCTTCATTGCTGCTACACTGTAAGAAGGGATGAGTAACAAGGAACCCATTTCTATAATAAGAGCAAGTGTGTCTTTCTAAACCCGAAGGGCTGTCAAAGTGCTACATTCCTCTGCACCAAAAATAAAAAATGGGGTATCTATGAAAGCGAGATGTCTTTGTAGTATCGTTGAGGCAAGCAGTGCCTCCTCTGAGATAGAATAAAATTACGAGATATATTTTCCTCTTTCATGTCTTCATGTTTCCAGTGTCTTTCTTCCTACTTGGAACTGAATCCAGGATGGACATTTCTTCCAACCATGCTATAATTGATAAAATTTTGTGCATTGTCTAGGTTTTAAAAATCATTTGGTTGAATCTTTAAACAGGTAGATCACTTAACTTTCTTAAAAGTACAATAACATGCAATCTAACACGTGCCTGCCTACTCAAAGTCTCTATGAATCCCAGTTCATTTGCTAAGCATTTGCAAGACTATAGTTTAAAAGCAGAAGCCTTAAAACGCATAGTACTTTGTATATGTTTTAATTGAGCATTTGGGTCAGGGGGGCATTGGAGCATTATAAGCAATATTTCATGATTTTTCTAGATATATGGCTTAAGGAAAGAAAAAAAAATCAGGAGGAATGGCATGTGCTTAGCGGGATCTTGTAACAACTGTCTGGGGCTAATTAACCATATGAGTGAAGTTTGTACTCTACCCCAGGGGTCCCCAACCGCCGGTCCGCGGACCGGTACCGGGCCACGGAACAAGCTTTACTGGGCCGCTGGTTGCTGGGTGCCGCCATCTTTTTTTGGTAAAAAAAGCAATTTTTCATCAAAAAGATGGCGGCGCCAGCGCTTCCGGTGAGCTTTTCCGGGTAGAAAGCCATTTCTACCCGAAAAAGCTCACTGGAAGCGCTGGCGCCGCCATTTTTTTGACGAAAAAATCACTTCCGGTGACATCACCGGAAGTGATTTTTCGTCAAAAAAAATGGCGCCCAGCTGACGCCGGAACCGGGCCGCGGCGCCCAGCTGACGCCGGAACCGGGCCGCGGCGTCGAAAGGGTTGGGGATCCCTGCTCTACCCTGTAACAATGAGTAGCTATTTATAGGCACATTATTAGAGGGGAAGGTGGAAATTCTTGGCGGAGCGGAGGCATTGTGCAAGCAGCTGTCACAAACCACTATCCTGTGATCTTTAAAGTCTTATTTAAAGTCCCTTCTCTTGATTTATGCTTAAAATTATAGAACATTGTCATAACTAAGGCAATGAATATTCACACTGGTAGAATTGCAAGAGAAGGAAGGAAGGAAGGAAGGAAGGAAGGAAGGAAGGAAGGAAGGAAGGAAGGAAGGAAGGAAG